CCCTGCCGCGTCCCCCCGACCAGGTGATGATCAGTGACGTCATGGCGACATCGGTGCGGATCACGTGGGACTATGACGTCAGCCCGGGAGACATCTCGTATTACGTCATTCAGTACAAGCCGCACCACGCCGAGAGGGACTACCACGAGATCTCTGGCCTCGTCACCAAGTTCTACAACGTCATCGGTGAGTGTGCGGATATGTGGATATATTTTTTATTCGGTTGTTCGATAAGAGGTGTATGTGTGGATTTTTTTTAAAGGTTATGGGGACTATAAGGGATTTATATTTTTATGAGGTTATGGGGACTGTAAGATGAAGAAGTGTGTGCGGATATTTTTTTATTAGGTTGTTTATTCGGTAAGAGGTGTATGTGTGGATTTTTTTTAAAGGTTATGGGGACTACAAGGGATTTATATTTTTATGAGGTTATTTGGGCTGTAAGGTAAAGAAGTGAGTGTGGATTTAATTTTTTATGAGGTTATGGGACTGCAAGTAAAGATGTATGTGTAAATTATCTTTCTATGTAGTTGTTATGGTGACTGTAAGGTAAGAGGTATCTGTGGTGGGAAGGGAAGGAAGGAAGTAAAGGGGAGAAGGGAGGGAGGAGAGAAGGGAGAAGAGGAAGAAGGAAGAGGAGGGAAGAGAGGAGGAGGAAGGAAGGAAGGAGAGGAAGGAGATAGGAGAGATGAGGAGGGGGGAGGGGAGAAAGGAAGGATGGAAGGAAAGAAGGAAGAAAAAGGAAGGATGGGAGAGGGGGAGGGGAGGGAGAAAAGGGAAAGAAAAGGAGCGGAGAGTATGTTTAGTTTAGACAAATGCAGTGTAGTTGCACGCCGTTTGTTGCAGTGTAGTTCAGGATAAGTAAAGAGACAGGGCAGGAAGAGGTTGGACGAGAGTAGAAAAGAGAGAGAGAAACGAAAGTATAAAGTAGGATTATCAGGGAGAAGAGGAAAAGGGACAGCCGAGGAAATGAAAGTTGACGCGTTTTCTCCCCTTTGCAAAGAACGGAAATATATATACGTCCTCTATCTGCATGATTTTTTTCATTATTATTTTTTATTTTATTTTTATTTATTTATTTTATTTATTTATTTATTATGAGAGAGAGAGAGAGAGAGAGAGAGAGAGAGAGAGAGAGAGAGAGAGAGAGAGAGAGAGAGAGAGAGAGAGAGAGAAAGAGAGAAGAGAGAGAGAGAGAGAGAGAGAAGAGAGAGAGGAGAGAGATCCGTGAGAGAGCGAGAGAGAGAGAGAGAGAGAGAGAGAGAAGAGAAGATTGAGAGAGAGAGATTTATGTTTTTGGCGACGAGATAGAACACATATTACCATTAAAGTGTGCACTGTCCAGCATCGTCATGGGGCGTTGGCAGAGCGGGGTAGGGGGCGAGTGGGTAGGAGGGAGGGGCAGGGGTCTTGGGTTGGAGGAGGAGGGGGAGGAGGGGGTTGGAGGGGAGGGAGGAAGGGGTATTTTGAGTAGAAAAAGGTGGGTAAGGGGTGTTGGGTAGGGAAGGGAGAGGGCTGGGTATTTGGGTAGGGCAGGGGGAGGTTGGGGCATTGGGTGGGGGAGAGAAGTGTAGGTCTGTTGGGTAGGAGAGGGGTGGGTCGGGGGTACCGGGGAAAGTGAAAAGGGGTAGGGGTAGGGTAGGGGGGTTGTATGAGGATATGCAACCTGTAAGCAGGATGCACAGCCGGTAATAAATGTTAGCAAGTGCAGGCTATAATTCAAACGGATTAAAAGAGCGAGGGTAATATGGCACCAGCTTTTGGAGGGGAGGGGGGGGGGATTTTGAAAGTATAAATGAAATACGAATGTGAATCAGGAATAGAGAAAGATAAAGAATATTCGTCCGTCGATGGTGTAGGTGAGGCGGACTGATTATGAGACTCGTTTCGTTGATGTGAGTT